GAGAACCAGAGAGAGGAGAGGTGGGGAGGGGAAGAGAGGCCGGGGGAAGGAGCAGAGAAGAGGAAGGAGAAGAAGGGAGGAGGAAGGGAGAGAAACAAAGTAAGAGTATAAACAGGCCGACACAATGTCAGAGTGGGAGGTGAGCCTGTGAGAAAAAGACAAAGGGATCGAAAGGAGAAGGGGGAGAGGCTGGAGCACAGAGTGCCCGGGAGAGAGCCTGACCCTGAGAACTCACACCAGAGATAAAGACCAGGCGAAGGAGATGGGGCTGGGGCTGGTGCAACAGATAGACACCGTTTCAGGGCCAGGTGCCTGGCTTCTGAGACCAATGCCCCATTCTTGGCTCGGGCTGATGGACGGACACCTCCCACCCGATGTGAAGGCTCAGCCCTATCTACTCCTTGCTCCACCCCCTCCTGTCACCTCTCCCTGTCATCCTGTTCCATCCAGTCGTTCCCTCTCTTAACTGGGCGCCTCCCAGCCTCAATTACAGCCAGGGGCTCCCCCCTCCTGGAGAGATCCCCTCCCTACCTCCTTCCTGGGCAAATTCCAGGACCAGCTGTTTGAAAAGGAGCCCTTCCCTAGCGTTTGGGCTCCCCCACCCCAGTGACACAAGGAAGGGCGAAAGGCTTCTCCAACACTCAGTGACAGTGTGGCCACGAGTCAGCTCAGAACCCCAGGACCCCTGCTTCTAATGAGGTCAAGGGACACCCCCGGGGTGGGTAGGGGCTGGACACTCAGAGTAAGCATGGACAAAGGTCCCAGTTCCCACACCCATTCCTGCCTGACCCATCCCCCCTGAAGTTCCTGTCCCCCAGCGGGCAGGCCACCTTTTCTTTCTTTCTTTTCTTTTCTTTTTTTTTTTGGCCAAAGAATAGACGCAGGGGTTCCTGCCAAAGCTGGGGTCTGGGTTTGCCCATCTTTCCACACACGCCTGTTTCTGTGTCCAGCACAGGAAAACGCACGTACTGGGGACAGGGAGAATGTCTTGGTGGTGGAGATAGAAGTGCAGACAGATAAAGTTCACCGGGTGTGAGCGGTGCTGGGGAGGGCAGTGGGGGGCTGAGGCTTGGGTCCAGGTGGTCAGGGGGAGGCGCAGAGAAAACGCGGTGTGTTGGGGGGAGAGGTAATGGGAAGGACACCTCGGACAAGCACCTGATCTTGTCCTCCGCAGGCCTGGCCTCGGCCAGAAACCCGCCTGCAGCTCGTCCCGC